ATCAAAGAAAATGAGTCAAGTGGGTTTCTCTGAACCAGATATCTAGGGATCCTCTGGCCATTTGAATATTCAACCATGTTGACCATGGACGGCATAGAGAATCAGTGTGATATCTTGCTTTCTTAAAATAAGGTAGGGTTTCCAGATACAATATGGTGAGGAATGAGGGCTGGTTGAGTTCTCAGAGGGCGGTGTAGTAATGTTTAAGTTCTGCGCGTAAGAGCACATGCATGCCCGAGGGGTGGTGCTACCTAATCATTACTTGATTTGATAATCCCTTCTTAATCAAGTCAGCTTAGTGAAAACGAGTTATTTCTGTGAATATAACATGGGGCAGGTGAAGTCGAATGTATAATACGAAAGATGGGTGAGAATGCGTGATTTTCTCGTGAGAATAGTGAGAGCTCAACTACATTTCGATATGATATTGAAGTGATTATTCGATATGACGAAATTGATCTAATGATTGCTTGGGCTCATTATTTCAAGTTGAACAGGAGCCGCCTGGCGCTATGCAATGTATCTCCCGGGAGCAAATTGAAACATGGTGCTATAAACTTAATAACTTATTCAGTGTACCACTAAGATATTAATAGTTATGTCACTCGTTGTAAGATCAACTTGTTTGATTACTTTATTACTTATCATGCTTCAACCAGCGGGACATCACTTGTATATATTGACCCTACATCCTTCCTATCATCATGATAACCACACAGCAAACTATAAATTCGCAAGTTCTCAAACATAAAGTCCGCACTCTTTCTTGGCCATGGAGATCAACCACTACATTTTCTCTTGGCTCCTCACTCTCATTTTAGCCCTAGCACCCTTGTTCCTTCTTCTCAAACTCAAGCAAAAATGTGTCAGCAACGAGCACAACCTACCCCCGGGCCAGTTGGGCCTCCCGTGGCTCGGCGAAACCATGGATTTCTACAGAGCCCAGCGAGCCAACCGGTTATTCGAGGACTTTGTCCGACCTCGAATGGCGAGGCATGGCAAGATCTTCAAAACAAGATTGATGGGGTCGCCAACGGTGATTGTAAGTGGAGCCGAAGCAAACCGATTCTTCTTGTCCAATGAGTTCAAGCTGGTGATAAGCTCGTGGCCTTCTTCTTCAGTTCAGCTCATGGGCAAGAATTCCATTATGGAAAAGCATGGCGAGCAACACCACCACGTCCATGGACTGATCGCCTCTAGCCTCGGCAGCTCCTCAGCGGAGTCTTTAGTGCCGAAGTTGAGCAAATCAGTACAACGCCACCTAGATGCACATTGGCGTGGCCAAGAGAGAATCAGCCTATACCACTTCACCAAAAATTTGACATTCCACATTGTGTTCGAATGTTTGTTAGGGATAGATGTGGAGCTGGGAATGTCGGAAATATTTGAGAGGATTCTGGAGGGAGTCTTCGCGCCACCAGTTACGGTCCCCGGAACTAGGTTTTCGAGAGCAATGAGAGCGAGGAAGAAGATAGAGAGAATGCTGGTGAGGATTGTGAGGAAGAAGGAGGAGTTGGAGAGGGAGATTTCGGGAGGAGGTGGAGGCGGGAACAAGGAGGGTGGGGCAGTGCTGCTGCCACGGTACGTGGCGGCGATGCTGCGGGGCGAGATGAGCGAGGAGGAGGTGATCGATAACATCGTGCTGCTGGTGTTTGCAGCTCATGACACCACCTCTTTTGCCATTGCCATGACCTTTAGAATGTTGGCTCACCACCCAAATTGCTATCAGTTGCTACTAAAAGGTGAAAATCTGTCGTTAGGTTATATGACTTATCTTTTTTCGTGTCTTTGATCGGCTTATAGTATATGATATTCGTTCTAATGTGAATAGTCTTCATATAGGTGAAGTCTAGGTCACAGAACTTAGGGTAGTGATTGTTGAAATTTGAGAAGGATATCAATCAATGACATTGCATATAAAATATGGACTATGTTATTAAAATTTTCTCTGGGGTTTCTATATTTATTGTTAAATTAGTGAGCTTTGCTCTTTTGCAGAACATATGGATGTGAAGAGCGGAAAAGGAGAAGGAGAGGATATCAATGGTGAAGATATTAAGAAGATGAGTTATACGTGGAAGGTTGCTCGTGAAAGCATAAGATTGTTTCCTCCCATCTTTGGCTCTTTCAGGAAAGCCATTGTCGATATCGAGTACGAAGGATTCACCATCCCGAAAGGATGGAAGGTACGTAACTTTCAATCCAATTACGACATTTCAATTGAGAACTCGAGTTTGATTCATTCCCGTGAAATTAGAACTAATTAACTTTAAAATGGACCTCCACGACTTATTTCATCTCTCAAAGCAACATGCCATGATTGTCAAACAAGAAAAGAGTCGATGTCGTGTCGTCGTATCGAAAGCTTAGATTTAGTCTCGAAACCTTTGATACGACTTCATTTTCAATTAAAAGATTAATTAAGTGGCACCATTGCATACCCTACACAACCCATTGACGCCATATGCCAATGCGTCGAATAATATAGACCAAGGCCAACACCGGCCACGGTTTATTTTACTGAAGATTAAACCGACCTAATCGTGAATGAAAATCTTTGTATGCCGCCCACGCTCATATCATTGAAGATTGCTTTGAAAAGAGAATGTCCCCCGCACATGCACGCTTGTTATTTAAAATTAAAGTCGTCATGCACTCATCACGAGCATGCATGGCAACGAAGTCATCTGCATCTTCCTTAACTGCAGTTATTAGGGACGGTCGAAGATGTATTAAAATAAGCCACTTGTTCATACTGTCAACTTTTCCTATCTAGTATTCCTCCCTTTTTCTTAGGAGACGCAGAAGAATTCGCGATTTGAGAAAATGTCGTATACAATTACATGATTTTAAAACACTCGTCGTATTGGCATAACAAACTAAATCGATGAGAATCGCGATAATGCGTTGCGTACACATAAAAAGGAATACCGACTTCAGATCTTATGGATCCATTCTAATTTCAGGTGTTGTGGACAACCTACGGGACACACTACGACCCGGAACACTTCCGAGACCCGATGAGCTTCGACCCGGATCGGTTTGAGGAACCGAAACCGCCGTACGTTTACGTGCCCTTCGGAGGGGGGGCAAGGGTTTGTGCTGGGTACCAGTTAGCGAGAATGAACATCCTCGTGCTCGTGCACCACGTGGTGACCCGCTATGACTGGTCCTTGATCCATCCCGACGAGCCGATCACCGTGGACCCGCTCCCGTTCCCTGTCCACGGAATGCCCATCCAGATTTCTCCCAAGTGATCCACCGATTGATTCAATAATGTGTTTCTATTTATTTGGGCAGAGATGCAGTTGTTTTCGCTTCTTTGTTCAACTCAAATTTAATGAACGTTCTTCAAACAAGTTGCTAAACTTGCGTAATTAATTGGCTTCCATTGAATTATTTGTGTTCGATTAAGAGGTAACCTTATCAAAAAATTGAGCTTTCGCTCTTAGGAGAGCCTACGCAGCTTATCCCCATCCTGTAAGGCAAGCTCCATTTATGCATTCTTTATTTTAACGTATCGATACCCGCACACTTCGTACTCCTAATTTTTTATTTTTCCCAAGAAGAGATAATATCTTCTAAAAATTTTATATCCTGGTAATCTCAAAATACGGACAATGATCCAGATAAAACTTTTTAAGGATGCTCAGATCCCAATTATGGCTTCTTTATTCAAATCAATTTTAATAAACGTTCTTCAACAAGTTGCATACATGATTACAATTTTAGATGGACTTTTTTGGGAATAACGAGAGTCTACCACGAGGAGGGTGACTCCAGGTCATACCTAAATGGATAGGACGGTGTTTCCCACGGTTCACTAAGGGCGCGAATAGTAACCATTCTGCTCTAGAAATCAAATTCTTGCCAGAAATTGATTTCTGGAATTCTTGCCAGAAATTGATTTTTGGAGGAGAAATCTGTTTGGTAAAACATGACTAATTCTGCTCTAGAAATTGATTTTTGGAAGAGAAATCTGTTTGATAAAATAAGAGGAAATTTCTACTTCTGGATGAGAAATACATTTGATAACGGCGTGTCAATTCTATTTCCGCAACAAAGATAGTTCGAACTCAATTGCAAAATATTATTTATCTTAACTCACAATGCATGATATTCGAGGCAAAATCTAGTACATTTTTTTAAATCCTCAAATAAAAAGAACATAAATTCCAAAATAACATGTCATTACAAGAAGACCCGGTACCAAATCCTCAATTACACATAATACAAATCCTACAATACAACATTACATTACATAAGGCAAAAAAAGCAAATAATCCTCGAATAATAATAATGGAAGTATAATACAATAGTGGAAAACAGTCAGATTTCGGGAAAATAGGAAATTTATTGAATTTTTCCGAAAAAAAATTTAACAAATGAAAAAATAAAAAATTTTAAAACTTCACATAATGGTTTAGAATACGTGTAATCACCCACGTTTAGTGAAAATTAATTTTTTTTAGGCGCCCAAAAAAATCATAAAATCAAAAAATTCAAAACTTCACGGAATGGCTTAGAATACATGTGGCCACCCATTTTTAGTGAAATTTATTTTTTTTAGGTGCCCAAAAAAAATAAAAAAATAAAAAATTTCAAAACTTCACAGAATGGCTTTAAAATACCTATGGCCACCCACTTTGAGTGAAAATTTAAATTTTTGGAGGTGGCCACAAATTTAAATTTCACTCAAAGTGGATGGCCACAAATATTCTAAGCCATTCTGTGAAGTTTTGAAATTTTGAAATTTTTAATTTTTTGATTTTTTTTTGCACCTCAAAAAATTTAAATTTCATGCAAAGTAAGCAAAAAATACATTTGATAACGGCATGTCAATTCTATTTCCGCAATAAAGATAGTCCGAACTCAATTGCAAAATATTATTTATCTTAATCTACAATGCATGATATTCGAGGCAAAATCTAGTACATTTTTTTAAATCCTCAAATAAAAAGAACATAAATTCCAAAATAACATGTCATTACAAGAAGACCTGGTACCAAATCCTCAATTACACATAATACAAATCCTACAATACAACATTACATTACAAAAGGCAAAAAAAGCAAATAATCCTTGAATAATAATAATGGAAGTACAATACAATAGTGGAAAATCGAATTTCATGGAATCTCCGGCATATGATTATCCCTAGCCATTTTATTGGCAATACGTTTCCTAATAATGTTCATCTCGGTTCCCTCTTCGGTTGTTACTACATCGTCTGTACCATGTTCAGTAGGTTCACACACATAATCCGGATCTCCATATATGGACAAACACTTATCCATCCTATCTTGCTCAATGATGTAGTTATGGATCGCACAGCATGCAATTACAATATGTGTTTGTTTTTCAAATTTAAATGGAGGCATCTGTCTCAAAACAAAAAAACGATTCTTTAAAGCCGCAAAGGATCTCTCAATGATATTCCTTAATGAAGAATGCCTGTGGTTGAACAATTCCTTTGCTGTTGTTGGTCCCCCACTTCGTCGAAATTCTGGTATATGATACCGTTCGCCTTTAAATGGTGTTAAAAATCCTGGACTTGAAGCATAACCAGAATCGACGGCGTAGTACTTGCCTACAACAAAGTATTCATGGATTGATCATGAAATGCAATCCTAGCAAAATCATAAACACAAAATACTCATTATATATCAAAATAGCACCTGCGGGTGGTCGAGGAAACTGTAGGTGAGGTGTGTCAAGTGCGGCCGACAACACTCGACAATCGTTGGCTGATCCTTCCCAACCAGCATACACAAAAGTAAATCGCATATTAAAGGAACACACACACAACACGTTCTGAGTGGTTGTGCCTTTTCTACCTCTAAATCGTGGCTGCATATGTTCAGGTACGGTAGCATGAATATGGGTGCCATCAATAGCACCTACGCACCCCTGTCATTTAATTAAATACATACATTAGACAAGATTGTGAGCAAAACTAATCAAATGGTGCAAGGAAATGTACGAAAAATGTACCTTGAAGTAACGATTAAACTTTGGATCAATCCGAATTTCTTCTAGGACAACATCAAACGAAGGAGGTACGATAATCTCCTTCGCCAATTTCAAAACAGCTTTCAACACCGCTGCAAAGTACTTGCTAACAGTCTCTCCTGAACGTTGGAATCTCTCACATAAAGCTCTGTTGGAGTTCTTGTGACAAATCATTAATAAAAACATGGCAACCTGTTCATCTACCCTAACATATCGACTGTCTGCCAACCAACCTCTTGACTTGAGCAAACCACAAAGGTTAAGAAAAACATGTCCCTCCATTCTAAATGCTTCGTATACTCTATCTGAATGTCCATGAAGAAGCTCGCTAACCCATTGGGGTCCTGTCAATACGTTGTCCCTAATACGTTCTGTCATGTGCATGGACCTATGCAACCAAGCAGTACACAACCATGCCAACAACATTTTTAACTCATCCTCATCAAAGTCTTGTTCACCTGATACAATTGTTTCACTTGATGCTACTTGATCATTAGACCAGTTACTTTGACCCCCTTCCATATTACCTAGGCCATCATGCGAAAGAAGAAGACAAACTCAACATGTCAGTTGGGAAGCCAATACATTTGAACTGATATGTTGGGAATTTAATACCACTCAACAGATAATTATGGAATTCAATCACATTAAAGCAAAATCTCAACATCATCACAAACGCATAGTCATAAAGACAAGTCAATGTCTGAAATACATAAGTGAAAAGCCGAAATGAACGCAAACATAAAACGGCATACTATAGCCCAACAACTACTCAACAGCCCCCAACTACTCATCCATAGCCTCAATAAAGGCAACTCTCATTTTGGAAAGCCATGTCAGGAAGCCCTCTCTCCAAGAGGCATTAATGACATCATGTTTCATAGTTTTGATGTAAAGAACCTTGTCCAAGTCATGCATGGCATTTAGGACAGCACCCACGGTTGCTATAGAGTAAGGGTCCACAGGTAATAAGGACTGTGAGGTGACGGAGGCACTTGATGTTTGAACCGTCTTAGCTTTGATCATCTCTTGAATGGCTTTGCAGGTCGCGTCAAATGAATGCGAACTGCTCTTTCTCCTCCTCTTGGCATTTGGAGTCCTATCCAACATGTGACTTTTTGGAGGTGGGCTCGCCGACACGTTAAATTGTTCCACATCAGCTTGGGTTTCGGAAAACAGTTCAGGTTCGCTTAGGTTGACATGAACATCATTGTCACCACCACCACCACTGTCACCTGTACCCTCCGACGGTGCCGCGCCTTACGCATTTCCTATTGCAAACTCCCAAGTGGCGTATGTATCTCCAAACACAAGACAAAGCTGTGAATACAAAGGAAATCCGTCCTTCCTGAACTTGGCCCATTCAGTATTAGCCTGTGCCATTTTCAAAGTAATGTCAGGCAGTACTCAACATTTTATAAATCTGAAATTTGAGGTTACAATAATAAGATGAACTAAGTAAGTAACATCACCTTAATGTGATTTGCCCAAACAGTTTCATCGTCCACAACAACCCTCTTGCTATCATCGTCCTATCCAAATCCCGTTGTTAAAAGCAGCTTCTTAAAACTACCATATTGTCTCTTGAGTTTCTGTGCCTTGTTCTTGAACTGTGGTAGACTAAAGTGAAGTCCTGTTTGTTCATTGAATTCTTTTTCAATGTTAATCCACCCTACTCTGTTGTAGGTACATGATGTGCGATTTCCCTTTTTTACCTCATCTACCATCAGACTTACAAACAATTCGGTCAACGGCTCAGTCCACTTTGCCATGTACGTGTATTTGGGGGATTCCATTTATGTAAAATCGATGAAATTTCAGGGACAAATGCTGGTAATGACGATTCAACAAACAAACAAGAATTAAAAAGAGGAGCACATCTACAAAAGAGAACATAAATTGTACCTGAGTAGAGAATTTGACACCCTAAAATAGAGAAACTCTACCAAAGAGCTAACAAATAGTATAGCATAGGAAAACTTTATGTAAATTTGCAATAATACAAAAATAGTAGACAGTAAATCCTAATAGTGGTACACAACAAGAGGAGACTCAGAAGCACACGACCCAAAAGAAGATAACGCAATGACCACAAAACATGTATAAAATGTTCTAAGACTTAATCGGCATCCTGGAGGCATGATAGTTTCAACTCAGTTGAATCTATCATAGTAACACCAAATCAGCAAGTTGTAGTGCAATATGGGCCACGGAAGGAAAAAAAAAATTGCAAAGAAAACAACTATCCAGTCACAAGATGAACATGAACAAGCAACTCCCAAAATCATGCTGCTGTCTCAACAATCCTCGCCTAAAAGATCGACCCAATAGCAACAATCCAGGACTTAAGACCACTAATCCACAATGTGTGGCAAGAACCTAGATTACAGTCCACGTGCTTTCGTAGACAGAACAAATCAGAACTACCAATTAGACTCGGACAAGTAATATTTCATCCAAAATTCTTTATGAATCAATCACACAAAGAAAAGATGTAGGTAGACTTAGAGAAGGCACCAAAAGCATAGCTCTCCGAGTTCAAAGACACTCGATATTCTTTAATTAGAACACATTCATACACATCTGATCAAGACATGTACCAACTTACCCTCATAAAAATATTGTAAAGGAACTTCTTATGAAACAATATCCAACACTGCACCCACCAACCTCTCACACGTGAACTTAAAAAGTTCGTACAATGACATCACCAACAAAAAAGGGTCACATATCCCTTATTTCTCTTATCATTAAGTGACTGATCCACTTCAGTAAAGTCAAAACCACATGGCATACATGCCTTTCATAATTTCTCATCTAAAACAGTTTATCAACACAGTTTAGTTGAGGATAGCCTTCGAAAGAGATAAATTGAATGAAATGCCATGGTTTCCCCTCACTATCTCAGGTTGATATCTTTCACTTGTAGGCCGTCCTCCCAATCCATAAAATTTAACCTTCTCGGGGTAAACCCATCATCTAGTGCCTGTGCTAAAACCAAAGCCAGTGCTCGAGATGCCGCCCAGAAATGACAACCCAGATAAAAACGAGACAAAAGCGCTAACTACTTGTGGCAATTCGCCGCGAACCACAGAGCCAGACACGAATGACGAAACAAACCGATTTAGCCACACAACCCACACATCATAGCCCTTTGAAATCGAAATCTCGCGGCTCAACTTCAACCTCAACCTCAATCCGCAACATGGGCGTCTCGTTCCCTCGTTCTGACTCGATTGAGCGAGATTCGCGCGGGCCGCGTGCCCTAAACGGGCAGCCGCGTCGCGCACCGCGGATTGCACCCGAAGGAAAAAGCTAACGAGAGGAGGTGCAACAGTTGGAGGAATCGAAGACTCACCAGCTACGCACGAAAAAACGGAAGCAGCGGAGATAGGGAGAGCCAAATCGATCGCCGCCGTGTGAGCTGGCGGTTCCGGTGCAGTCGCGAGGAGGGATGGAGGGCACGAAACTGAAGAGGCGGGTTTCGGTGCAGTCGCGAGGAGGGATGAAGGGCCAAATCGATCGCCGCCGCGTGCAGTGGCGGTTCCGGTACAGTCGCGAGGAGGGAAGGGGAGGGCGGTGAAGTGCTCGAAGAGTTGAACGAGACAGAAGAGAATGAAAGAAATTAGGGCTAGAATGACCCAAAGAGAGAACGAGATGGAAGAGAAAGAAAAATGGCCAGAATGAGTTCCGGGAAGAGAGAAGCTACAAAAAGTAACTTCTCTTTTTTGGTGGAAAACTCATTTTGGAAGCAAAATTTGATTCTGGAATAAAAAAAAGAATGTGTTTTTACCAAACGCCTTTTTTTATCCGGAATGCAAAAATTGTTCCAGAATGCATTCCGAAAATTTTTTAACAAACACATTTCTGATCCGGAATGCATTCTGGAGCAGAAATTTTGCTCCAGAATGGATTCCATGCGCGCCCTAAATGTAGAGATTACTCAAACCAAGATCTGCTCTGTAGATCTTCTCATGATGAGACCTCTTGCATTGCAAGCATTAAGAAGTGATTCGTATGAACATTGTTAGTTCCGTTCCATGCAAGTGAAGCTTTTGGTCCTGTCTGAGCACCATTCCGTGCGAGTCTGTCCCAACCGAGTGACATGACTAAAATATGTTCGGAAAAATCTGAACTACGAATTTTTCAATGAACGTGATTGAGTCGGATGGGTGCATTGTATGTGCGATCAATAATTTAGGCATTGATCATTGGATGATTCATATGTATCGTGTTACTAGAAGGTTTAACGAATATCTTATATCTATGTACCATGAACTTGGGTGCACTAGAGGTGGTTAGGGTTTTCAAAGTTTTAATTTCCTTCTCTTTTTTTAACATCCAGTTTATAGAGAAATTCTTCTCCTTCAAACACAGCAAACTGTGAAGAGATTTCTTAAAGAACTGTATAATGATGGAAACAGTAATGTTAGATATAATAAGATAAATTAATTTGTTAAGTCACGTGATAGACCGTAAGTGAATATCTAACAAATGTGGTACATTCAATGCTCGATAATGGGCCTGTCATAGCGTTTAGTATATCAATTTCACGAATCAATCTTAGTAAACTTAAAATTTCTGTAATATGGAAATGGTGTTTCAATCTAAAAGCACTAACCTGCTTGGAAATTTGCTTATTAGTCGACAAAATAAGTTTCTTGGTCGAATTTAATTCAATAGTGCATAGGGGTGAGCGGTTCCAGGTTCCGGGTAGGTTCCGCCCGGAACCTGGAATCTACCCTCGGGTACAGGTTCCTCAAAATGAGGAACTTGGAACCTACCCGTCAGAACGTAGAACCTGAAACCTACCCTATCACAGGTTCCAGGGTCGATTCCAGGGTCCAACAGGTTTCTTTTTTTTTATTTCATTTTTAGTTAAACAAAACGAAAAATGAATGCAATAATACCCAATAAAAGAGAATACAAAACAAACAAAATTACCTGCTATAGACTCTGACCGTAGTCCTATCTTGCTAACTCTCTCAGCGGAACCTGCAAAAAGAAAGAGAGAAATTAAGTTTGAAGCATACTGGCTTGAAGATAATGAATGTGGTCAGCTAACAAAAAAGTTTTCTAATTGATATCATATGAACTAACAAGCATTAAAACAAGGAAAAGAAGTGGCATGTTGCAATTCTTGAGAATTCTTGAGAAACAATAAGTCATTGCACAACTACGGACCATAGAAAAAATTCAAAAATGGGTTACTTTTGACCAACCTACAGCTGTATATAACCAAGAAAAGAAAAATGCGTACACATTTTACCACACGGAATGAAAGGACTTCTCAAGTCATAAGCTTGACTACAAGTGCTTTTATTCTGAAGAGCAGAACAACGAAAGCATTTATCATGAACAACACACTTCAGAAAATTATGTAACCCAACACCATCTTCAGAAATCACAAACCAATGTGCATCCTAACAGTCCAGCAAACCGGATCCCTATGTTCTCCATAATCGGCCAGTAATGAAATGAGGAGGCACACAGACATAGACTCAAATCGCGGGAGAATAAATGCGATATAGATGAATCGAAGACTAATGTTGCGATTCAAGTAATGAAATGGGCAACCAAGTGTTTTGGTTCAAAAGTTTTTCCTTAAAAATAAACATAGCTTCAT